TGAGAATGCAAAGGTCATCTGCGTACTGTGAGAGTTTGAGCCCCTTAATTCTGTCATGTATGTCCCAGATGTCATGGACATACAGGTTGAAAATCACCGGTCCCAGGATCGATCCTTGAGGCACGCCATGGAGTATAGGTTTCTCCTCTGTTTCAGTTGTTCTAAACCTGCCTTTCAGTTGTCTGCCTGCAAGGTAGTTTTCTATAATTTTTGTGATGTTAGTGGGTACGTCTTTGTCTTGTAGCTTTTTGATCAAGCCTTTGTGGTTAATCGAGTCAAAGGCTTTCGAGAGATCTGTTGATATCATGGAGACGCTGTCGCCGTTGGCCAAGGCATCTGTGATTATTTTACCGGTGCGAAGGATCTGGGTCGCTGTGCCTCTGGCCCTTGTGAATCCGTGTTGGAACGGTGGTTGCAGCCGGTCCACCGTGACGGTGAGTCGTCTCAGGATCAGTCGCTCGCACAGTTTGCCCATTATGTTGAGCAGTGTAATCGGGCGGTACGATAATGCTTGGCGATGATCTTTGCCAGCTTTGTGCAGGAAGATGCACACGCCGGTTTTCCATCTCTTAGGGAAGTAGCCTGTGGACAATATAAAGTTAGCGAGAGGCACAAATGCCTCGGTGAAGACTTCTCCCCCGAGTTTGAGGGCGTCTGCCTTGATTCCATCTGGCCCGGGAGCCTTTTTGTTTTTGAACCTGCTCAGTGCTAATTTGACTTCGTGTTTTGATGTTGGGTCGAGTGGCTGGAACGGGGTCGTTTTCTCTGTGCCCTCATCTTCCGTCGCAATTACTGCCTCTTTTACTATTGCTGCCTCAGTCAGTGAGTCGATCGTCTCTTTTTCCGTTTTGCAGCCCGTTATGTTTGGTAGTCTCATGATTGGTTTCTTCATGTTGCGTTGGATGCGCCACATTTGCGACCTATTGTCATTCGGATCCTGGATCTTATCCAGCCAGCCCTTCTCGGTATATTCTCTCAGTGCTTGGTCTGCTTCTTTTTTGGCTTTGTTGTAGAGGGCACGTGCCTCTCGTTGTAGGTTGAGGCTGCCGTGCCTTGCCTGCCATTTAATTTGTTTCAGCTTGTTTCTGAAGTCTATCTTTTCATTAATTTCCGGTGGTAGATGTTCTCGTCTCGTTGTTGTTCTGAAAGGTGCGTGTTCGTCGAGGGCTGCTGTAATGGATTTCTCCATGGTTTCGACGTATCTTTCGCAGTCTTCCTCCGTGATTATTTCCCCGTGTAGGTAGCGGAAGCCTTCCCACATGGTTTGTTGGTATGCTTCCATCGCCCCCCTCGTCCTCGCGTATCCTCCTTGTGTTGCGAGATTTGTTTACCTCTATGTTGTGTTCGATTTTTACAGTGAGTAGCCATGGTAGATGGTCTGATCCAACGCTTTCTAACTGCTTGGCTTGTGCCTCGATCTGTTGATGTGTTATTACGGCTATGTCCAGGATTGCGTTGCCTTGGTTGGCCGGCCTCGACGGCGCGCCGGCGTTTTTTAGCGAGCAGATTCCGTCGTTTATTGCTTTCCTGATTACAATGCCTAGGCCTGCGTCTCTTCTTTGGTTCAGGGCGCGCATCTGTAGATTCAGATCTCCTATTATGATCGTTGGTTCGTCAGCCAAGGTTTCTTCAAGCTCTTCTCTGGCTTGGTGTTGATTTGGGATTTGAAAGTAGGTCCCTTTTATTTTTATGTATTGTCCAGTCGCGTGGTCTGTGAACAGTTTGATGCCCACGCCTTCAATTTTTCTTCTCTCCTCTCCCCACCCCGGTGTGACCTCTGTTTCGGTCCATCTTAGCCCCCTTTGTATGTACATGGCTGTGGTTAAGTGGGTTTTAAGCGAGTGTGTGATTTTATCGTATCCTTTCATGTTAAACTTCTCCTTGTCGAAGTCGATTTTGCATTCGTTTATCACTATTATGGCTGGCCTGTATTTTTCTGCCAGCTTTTTTACTTCAATGAATTTCTTTCTCAGTCCTTGTGCATTTAGGTGTAGGATTTTGAGGTTCTGTATTCTTTTTTGGTCGTGATTAGCCATTGGTCTGTCGTTGTGTGTTATTCGTGGTTTCTATGAGCTTCATTAGTAGTTTTTCCGTTCGCTCCAGTCTTAGGTGGAGGCTTTCTATGGTTGTTTCGTTCATCGGTGGTAACATTGCCTGCTCCCCCTGTGATACTGTCGGCTCCTTCTGTGGCAAGGCGGGGAATTGTCTTTTGCTTGAGACGTCCGCATATCTGACTCCAGGTCTGACTGTCGCACGTCTGATTCTCTCTTCTTGTTTAGTCTGTTTGGCTTTCGCTTGTTCCATTTGTTTGGATATCATTTTTTGAAATATCGGGCAGGTAGCGTTGTTCGCGCTGTGTCCTTCTTTCTTACAGTTTTTGCAGACCATCGTCGTAGTGCCCTCGGGTGTATTGATTTTGATCTGTGATTCTTCTTGTCTGCCGTAGCAAGACTGTTTCGAGTGGTCAAATGCATAGCATTTCTTGCATTGCACTATGTGTCTCGGGTTTTCTCTGAATGGCTCTACCTTTATGCAAGGGGCGCAGAAGAACTTCCTGTCAGCGGTTTTGCATGCTTCCAGGACGCTTTTTTGTTTATATTTATTTTCAAAAATCAAGAGGTGTATTTTACCTGCTTTTCCTAGCGGTTTTATTGATATCGGTTTAATGCCAATGCATTCCGCTATCTCTTCTGCGATTATGTCAGTGTCCTCACCGTATGTTTCATTTTTCAGCACCACTTTTGTCGCTGGTTGTCTGTCAGCTTTCGGTTTTGGTGCTATTATTCTTGATGGTTCGCACACTTGGATTTTCGTGAGAATGTCTTCCCGGGCTGCTGAGCTCCCCGGGTTGATTTTTATTTGTCCGTTCGTCACTCTAAGCGTTGAATTATTTGTTGATGTCGCCTCTCTTATAAATCTGAGGGCGCGTTGGTCGTTCATTATTTTTTTCATCCCTAATTATTATATCAGGGATATGTGTGTTTTTCTGTGTGGGCGTCACGAACTTATCTGTTCCGGTGCGTTGTCTTTTTATTCCTCTATTTTCGTTTTGTAGCGTTTCAAATCTGTTTGCTAACGGTATATTATAGATTGTTTCCGAGTTGGCCTCGGCTTGCCTGTCCGCGCGCTGGGTGTTACATGTGGCGGCCAAACTTTGGGTTGTTTCGGTCGCGCAGGTACGCGCCGTGGTCGTGTGGCTTTGGGCGATGGTGTCGTTTCTTTTGTTCACTAGCGTAGACGCTCGCACGCTGTGTCGTTCCCCTGAGGTGAGGCGGGGGGCGGTCCGGGCGGCGAGCGGCTTGCATGTGCCGTTCGTCGGCTCTAACCTCGTTCGTTGCACGTGCACTGGCTCTTGCAAGCCAACGCCCTTACGATTTCTTTTTTCTTGCCTCTTTGGGTGGTTAGAGACGGGCTTGAATCCTCTGCCGTGGTTTTTATAAGTGCGCATTGATTTTTGCCGCACTTACAGATGAACCATTCCTCCGATGTAAATGCGTCTATCGGTAGGGTGATCAATTCTCTCTTTGTTTTACAGTCCACGCACGCACGAAAGTTGCTTACTCCGGTTTTTAGCGAGGCTGTGTATATTGTTATGGTAGTTTCGATTTTTAGTGTTTCTTTTTCGAATTTGGGCACTATAGTAGTGGCCGCCTTTATGAGAAAGCTTTCCATGCATACATTACATTGGATTTTCCTCGTGTTCATTTGATTGGTACCCCACAGGGGGGCGTCCGTTTGGAAGTATTGTTCGCATTCCCAGCACTGTATTATATTTTTATTGAACTCATTGAGGTCCATTTTCACTTTTTTCACTTTGTCTTTCACTTGTTTACTGTCCTTGTCTAGACTAAGTAGATCCGTGTCCATATCATTAGATTTGTGTGAACTTTCACTGTTGTTTTTCGAGAGCATGTTTCCTATTACTCTTGATTCACTAATTCTGTTGGGTGTTGCCTGTCTCACTTCTTCTGGTGAATCCCAGGGGGTGCTCCCCCGGGGTCCTCACAGTTCATGATTTTTCACTTTCTATTCACTTCAAGTCTCGTTCCAATGTGGATTGTTTTAAGAACCGCACAAAATTTCAAGATACCACACGCAGTGCGTGGGTCGTGCGCGGATCGGCTCTCGGGAGCTTTCCGCTGCGCGCGTCTGTTCGCTACGGCGGTCCGCGCGAGTCTCCCGTTATATGCATGTTTCTTATTCACACCGGACAAAAGGCTGTTAAGCACTTTGATCAAGCGCGCATAAAACACATCACAAACTGACTGTTTCATACCAGCCTCATCGATACCGATGTTCTGTGACATACCTAGGTATCGGTATGTTTCAGCCTCGGAAAGGGTCCTTAAGTTGACGGGCATAGATAAGTCTATGCCCTCCGAGTTAGTAACCCTTCCCCTTTCAACATGGAGGACCGCACACTTATCCGTCCCCAGCTCCATTCCAATAGAATTGCTAAATTCACAAGTGATGTTTAGCAATTCCATAAGATGGGAGCGACTGGAGGCGAATAACTTGAGGTCATCCATATAGAAAAGGTGGGTCACTTTTGTACCTCCTTTCCGAAGTTGAAATCCCCTCCCGGAGCCCTCTAGTAAAGTACTGAGAGGGTTCAGAGTGAGGCAAAACCAGATTGGACTCAGACAATCGCCCTGGAAGATACCCCTTCTTATCCCTATGTGGTTCTCCGCAGCCATCATCCGCTCGCCCAGATAGCATAGGATCGTACTCCATTGCCCCATACACTGCTCGAGGAAGTCTCCAACTGTACAGTCAATCTTGTACAGCTGGAGGATTCTCTTTAGCCATGTATGGGGCACCGAGTCGAATGCCTTTCTGTGGTCTATCCAGGCGGCGGAGAAGTTCCGACGGTTGCGTTTCACCACTTTGCCAATGACCGCGTCAATGAGGAGTGGTTCCTTGGTTCCACGACCACCGTAAATTTTGAGCGATACTGATTTAGTAGGTGGTGTTCTGCGCTCAAAATGGATGTCAGTGTCTTATATATGGTGGGTAGACACGTGATGGGGCGGTATTTGCTCGTGTATATCCTGATCTTTAGGAACCAAGTGAGTGATCCCAGTTGTGAAGAGGCTCGGGAGCGACTTCTGATCGAGAGCCTCTTGAAACTGTCGGGCGAGCACAGCGTGACACACTACGAACCCCTTCAGCCAGTAATGATGCAGCCCGTTGAGCCCCGGACTTTTCCAGTTCGGGGCCCTACGGACCGCCTCAGCCACGTCTTCAGGCGTTATGGTGACGGGGTCCATAGGCGTAACACTTGCACTCTGGCTCGCCACAACTTCCATCCAAGGGCCCTCGCTGTGGTTTACGGGCTCTGACCACAGGCCACGCCAAAATGCGACAGTGTCGGCCTGATCCGGTCCTGGGCCCGCTCCACATACCTCTGGTCGCTCCAATGACTTATAGGGCCTCTTCTGATCACTCTGGAAGAGACGATTCTGGTTGAACCGCCTTGACCTCTCGCTAAATCGTCGAATCCGCTTCCCCCAAGCAGCGATTTTTTGCTTCAGGTCATCTATACGCTCCATTAGTTTCTGCGTGATATCCGGCTGGGAAAAACTAATATTTGTCCAAACAAACGACATTCTAACGGTGCGCACAACTCTCGGTCTATTATTACCCGACCTGAAGCTTGTCAGTCTGCCGATAAGGGTCCTTGCCTTTGCGATACGGTCCTCGATTCTTTTTCTCCAGGCTGGGATGGCGCTACTTTGTTGAGTAGCACGTGCAGCCATGGGAAGTTTGGCGCCAATAATACGGCATACTGCCAGTGCGGCGCCAAAAAGAATTGAGTCCGTCTCGCAAAGGTCCTGGCTGGCTTCCAAATAGGTCACCAGCATTGGGTTAAGAGCCCGCACGACAGCCCGATTTCACTTGCTAAGGGGAATGCGGGGAAGTCGCGGTCGATTTTCGAGAGGCATGCTGCGCGTTTCCAGCATCGACTCTTCCAATATGCTCCTCATTTTCTCTAGTTCGTGGGAGACTATTCCATCATCGTCTGAACTAGCCACAAATGGAATGTTGACGGCAGCATCCACATATGCAGTTTGTTGCGCATCTAGTGGCGCCGCATTCCCAGCCGTAGCATTTCCATTCGATGAAGGAATAGCCTCACGTCGTAGTCGTCGTTCGAGTTCGGCGTCACCAAATATGTTGGAGCGCAGGATGTACCGCACTCGGTCTGCCAGGTTTTGCTCAGTGACGGATAGATCCAGCTCTGCAAAAAAGCGATGCATCCGAGCCCGATACGCCAAACATCCAGTTTCTTCCCCTTTTGCCCTAAAATACGCCCGCAGTGCGTTTGCATTTATTAATTTTGACCAACGCATGCGACGTGCTCCACCAGCGGCGGGTGCCGCTTGCTGAGTCCGAGAAGACCCAGCCGACACCAAGCCTTCTGGTGGGGATGATGGATGCGGGGGGCTGCTAGGTGGTCTTGCAACACCCCGCACTCGGCTGGCGGCCCGCATGCTGTCGCGTCCAGCGCCAGCTCCAGACGCGCCCTGGCGACCTCCAGGCAGCGGTCCTTTGCGCACTATCTTTTTTTCCATCATCCATTTATGATATTATTGTTATATATATTATCACAAAACTATAATATTATAAATATAAATACAATCTATATAAATAATATTATTATTTATATAGATTGTATTTATGAAGTGAAGCATCAACGTTCCGGGAAGTCTGCAGTTTGCGATCATATTCTAGATGGCCCCAACCATTACATCAGATTTGATAGACCACAAATCCTCGCGAAAGAACACTGATTCCTACCAAGGATGATACGTGAGGCTATTAAAATTAAAAAACATCCTAATTTCAATAGAGAAGGTGGCTGGGTACTACCACCTGCTTGGGATCCTATAATTAATAAAATTAAAACTAAACCCAAGCATACCACTGCAAGACTTCAAAATACAGTTAGTTCATTCTGCGTAGATCGGACCAAAGACAATAATTAAAAAGCTGAAGGTACTCAGGTCAGTCACTAGAGATGGGCGTTATCGTTGCTTTAACGCAATGATGCAACCAGTTACATTTTTTTATGAAACCTGTTGCAGCAACAGGCTTTTTTTTGCAACAGGTTTCTAATTGCCATGTAATATTAAATTAGTACTTAATAAAATTAAATGTTATACATACCTATATGAACTATGTTTTTATTTTGTGTCTTTAGTCATTATTAGGTAGGTATTATACGTGGTAGAGTCAGTCTACAGCTTTATTATGGTTGTAGCGTGAATGGGTTGGTTCGTCTCAAAAAATACCAACGTAAAATAGCAGCTTAATGCTGCTGTATTTTATATAGTGAGTGTAAAGAGACCCTTTTACGGGCACTAAGCGAGGCATTCCATCTCAGTCCTCAGGGGTGACAATGCATCTGCATTTTAATTGTTAATCGAGGATAGATGTAGACGTCTATGGGCCACTACATTCACGTACCATCAGGTGTACTGTGTGCGTCGTCATCCTAATTCTATTAAAACTAAATTTGGTTATGAAATTTGAGTAACGAGAAATTATATTTGTGGATGAAAAAAGTCAAACAAAAATTGTTTATAGCAGCAATATTTTTAACTTTTATTAATATTTAAAAACACCAATTGGCGAACCTTTTCACTGGTTAATCGGGTCCTTCTGTCATTAATAATGTACCCAGCTTTCGAAAATATTCGTTCACAAGGCACACTGGTAGCCAGGAAATTGCCCCTTTTAATAAATAACTTGCATAGTGTTGGATAAAGATGGCGGTTGTTTTTCCACCATTCAAGGGGTGTGTCTTCGGAGTTTCGGGGCAATAATGCATCTTCTAGATATGCTCCTATTTCCGTAATCGCTTTTGCCATAGGTGAGCTTCTTGGCTGTAAATTCTTAACTTCCCAATCAAAGTCGTCCCATATGGATATCTCTTTTGAACAGCCAGGTTGCGGCGGCTCATTGGAAGTGGTGGGATAATGTGTAACAACAGAGTTGCCGATCATAGTAGCAACCATATCAATGGTTCTGTTTTGGAATGATCTGCTGCACATTTATCACTCAAGCCACTTATTTTAAATCTCGGATCTAAAAGTGTGCTCATAGCCAACTCTTTATGGTATTCAATGTTATTGAATCTCATTGAAAGTCCCTCTTTTAGTTTCAGTAACACATTGCTAATGACAGGCTTGTATTGGTTTTTAAGCAAATTTTCACACATGTTATGTAAACCAAGCGTTACAACTATCGCCATACTGGCGGTGGTGTATTTTTCTCCACTCATTTTGGCTGTTGCTTGCTCAAATGGCTTTAAAATAGTGGTAAGTTGCGTGCATATAATCCAATCGTCTTCAGATAGAGACTCATCAAAATCTCTGCACCAGGGCCAAAGTGGGCCACTGCTTCTTCCAACTCTACAAAGCACTGCAACATGAAAAATGTTGAATTCCAACGAGTAGGTATAGATTGCTTGAGTTTTTTGGGTATATTAATCTGTTGTTGAACTTGATATTTTATCAATCTATCTGTTGCAGATGAACTTCTCTTAAAATATGATACTATATTTTTTATTTTTTCTAAAGTATCTTTAAAAAATTTTAATGCATCATCAACAAATAAATTTAAGGTGTGAGCATAGCATCCAAAATGCTTCCACTCTAACAAATTAATGGCATTTACAATATTTTTTACATTGTCCGTTATTGCCAGTACTACTTTTCCAGTCAAGCCCCAGGCTTCAATCGTGTTTTTTAATTGTCTAGCTAGTAGTTCACCTGTATGTTTTTCACTATAGTGAGCACATTCTAAAAGTACCGTTTTGCATTCTAATTCTGATGTAGTGTAATGTATGGTTATTGCTATGTAACTATCATTTACGGAAGAAGTCCACGTATCAGGTGAGGCATACACTCATAGCTTCTCGCTGTACTTCTTTCATTAATTTCTCCCTGCAGACGGTGTAAGCCGATGGTATCAAACTGGCTGATATTGTTTTCCGACTAGGTAGTTTGTACGAAGGATTTAAAGCATTTGCATATTTTAAAAATCCTTTATCTTCTACTATACTCAACGGCTGATAATCCCAAATGAAGAGATGTAACAATGCTTTATCTATCAGTTTATTTTCTTGCATACTCATTTTTTTGGAATATATGATGCCATTATTCTTTATCATTTTTGCGCTGAAGAGCCGGAGCTAATAGCGTCAGAAATCGTAGCGGTAGAATTTATTGTTAACGCTGATGCTATAGCATGTTCTGGATTTGTCACATTTATCTAGGGATATAAAAAAATGTCAATTATTTATTACTTGATTTTAAAGCTTTTTTTTAAATAATAGAATATTAAATAAATTTTTCTCTTGATATCTTATCGATTTTTTTAAACAATGACGTAAAAGTAGACATTTTAATGTAAATGTAGATACCTGTGGGTCACAGCATCCACTTACCATCAGGTGGACTGTTTGCTAGTTTGTCAGCCTACTCTATAAAAAGATTATATACGTAGATTAAAAAATTAAATTGATAATGAAAAAATCATTTTTGATGACTTTTGGCTTTTGTCACACTCACCGTTTTGTCACTTGTTAATGTAGCTTGTGAAGCAATATTAGTATCAGGTTGGCTTAATGTATAAAATACAGACACATGCTTACGCTTTAAATGTAATTTTAAATTTGTTATGGTAGATTTGTATGATACCGCATTTTGACATATATTACAATTTGCAATTTTTGCCACATTGTCTACATTGCTAAAATGTTTGCAAATATCACTGGTTTTTCGAGACATTTTATATTTTATACAGTTTATTAGTTTCCAACACCAAAGCTTTATATATATATATCGTCATGCAAGCAAAACAAATAAACACATGCAAAAAAATAAAGGAAACTAAACAATAACACAATAACATATAAGCAAAACGCACTTTGAAAGTTTTAAATACTATTACTTTTATTTCGAAACTCGAACAACGTATCATAAACAATAGTTGTCAACGGCCTAATTCAAATTCATATTTGAAGGACGCATAACATCGCCCGAATATTTTCAGTTCGTAATGGTTCGTAAGCAACCATAACCACAGTAACTAACAACTGTGTGGATAAAGCAGTACGTACCTACCAAGCTGTTACTGTTACCTAATAGTTGCTCACAACTAACCGGCTGCTTTATCGACAATAGCAGTGCGCAACCTATATTTCTGCAAAAACATTTAAGTCTCGGACGTTACTGAAACAACCTATTGCGCGATTTGTCGCAACAGGTTACATTTTTATTTTCGACGCAACCTGTTGCTGTAACAGGTAGCGAAAAAAACGACTCATCTCTATCAGTCACCTCAGTCCCCCGTGACCGTGGGTGCTGGAAAGCACCCGAAACGTCGGGTATTAAAATTAATATAAATAAAACGCGATAAAATCCGTAAAAGTAGTTTTAATCAATGTATAGTGTTCGCGTAAATATAAGAAATCATTATGAAGACCACCTCACTTCTGCTCCACGCCTCGGGAGTAGTGCCAACATTGAGGACGGAATTAAAGAGCCTCTGAAGGATTTCAAGTACCGGTTTTCCACCCACTATCAGACGCTTCGCTGTAATTCCATATTCGCCCGGGGACTTGCCGTTTTTAAGGTGGCGGAGAGCCATTCTAATCTCGCTCAGACTGACGTCCGGGATATCATCGGAATAGTGTCGGATAAGACCCGCTCTTGGATCGTTACTCACAGTTGCGTGTGGCTCCAACGATGATGTGTACAGCTGCCCATAGAACCTCTCAATCTCACTCAGAATCTCAGGTGTCCCGGAAACGATGCTGCCACACTCAGTCTTCAGCTTTGACAGTTGGCTCTTACTGACAGACAGATCTCTGGCAAAGACTTTGGAGCCCTGGTTCCGCTCAATCGCTTCTTTAATAGGAGCAGTATTAAATTTGCGTAAGTCTCGCCGCATGCATTTGGAGATCTGTCTGCTCAGTTGCCTGTATGCTGTCAAATCTGTTGAAGATTACAGCCTCATCTCCCGTCTAACAGCCATGAGATTAAGAGTGTGATCGGAGAGCTTTTGTGTTCTTCTGCGGCCGGTCTGGCAGAACTTAGCTCTCACTGCATGGACAGTTTCCACGAGCTTGTCATTCATATCGTCCACTGCATTGCAATCTTCTAGGCACTGAAAGCGGTTACGTAACTCGAGCTGAAAGGTTTCGGGATTCTGGATTAAAGCACGAGGGGGACGGAGCGTTGAATTCATTAGACGAGACCTCTCCAACTTAACGTTTAGGTTCAGTGTGCCTCTAACCATTCGGTGATCGCTGCCAGTTTTCACCCTTGCGATCACTGAGACATCACTGAACAGTTGGCTTCTGGTCGTCATAATGAAGTCAATCTCATTTTTTGTCGAACCGTCGGGGCTCGACCAGGTCCACTTCCTGTGGGGCCGCTTCTGAAAGAAAGAGTTCATCATAAAGAGTCCCTCTTTCTTCATGAAGTCGGCCAGCTGCTGGCCCCCACGGTTCCGTTGCCCTACTCCAAATTTCCCTAACTTCAGCTCACCCCTTTCTCTTGTGCCTAGTTTTGCGTTGAAGTCTCCCATCAACACCGTGTAGTGGGTTTTGGAGGAATGCATGGCTTTGGAAATATCCTCATACATTTCCTCCACCTCCTCATCGAGATGTGCCGAGGTTGGTGCGTAAAGCTGTATGACCTTCAGCGAATACCGTTTGGTGATTCTGAGTATCAGGTACGCGACCCTCGTCGACACACTCCCAATCTTTACAACGTTGTTGACGAGAGACTTGTGGACGATAAATCCGACGCCTCCTTGGGACAGATGGTCGCCCTCCCGGTGATAGAACAAGTTGCCGGACTCGAGGATTACCGTGTCCTCCCCCTCTCTTCGGACCTCAGATAATCCAATAATATCCCAGCGCAACTTGTCTACCTCTTCTTCCAGCTCCAGTATCTTCTCGTCAGTCCTCAGGGTGCGTGCGTTATACGTTGCCAGGTCGAGTCGTCGTAGGTGGCAACCGAACCTCCACCGGAGATTCTTAACACCCCAGTCCCCGGCGGCCCCGCTAGTCCTGGCTACGGGTTACTCATGTGGGTATATTTGCCATAGTTGCCACGCTTGGCGAGCGGGTTGTGGCAACCGCAGTTTTTAATTATATCATTGCTGTTATCCGTTATCAGCGGTTTTTTTATTATATTATTGTTGTTATTAGTAAGATGCTGCTCTGATCTGATCTCCTGCCTGTCTCCCTCTGTCGCCTCTTACGACACCCACGGGAAGATATGCGTTAGTGGATATTCTCAACCGCCACTACACGCGATGAATAGTTAAAATAGCTTAAATCAACTATATGAAAAGTAAACTAAAATAATAAGGCACTTTAATTTTAAAAAGTATTTATTAGTAATTTCAAAATCAGTACAGGTAGATAAAACACAATTTCAACTAAGAAGAAAATTGCAATCAAGTTTTAAAAATTACTGTTACACAAAATGCAAAAATGGAATGGATTTTTGTTATCTTTTCATTTCTTAGTTATAGCAAATTTAAACTAACCATTTCCATAAAGTGTTTAAGATCAGATCAGCCTTTTTCAGCAGTTATATTACTTAGGAATTTAGAATAGATCTACAATACTGATAATAGTTTTTTTTTCAGAAACTCTTTTCAAGGAACATAATATAAATCACATAAAAAGATACGAGATACAATTTTCAAAAAATATTATATATACTAAAAGTTATATTATATATAAAGTTATATTATATAATATTGTATAAATTTTTAGACAAACTATCAATCAAACAACACTATTAAGATCACGTCCTAACAATTTAGAGCTTTAATTACTAGTTATTAGGTATATTTGTCATATTAGGTAAGCTTGTCAATAAAATTTTAACAAGATATTTTTTTTTTATAGGATAGGGTGACAAACGAGCACACAGTCCACCTGATGGTAAGTGGTTGCTGCGGCCCATAGACATCTACATCTATCTTCCATTACAAATCAAAATGCAGATGCGTTGTCACCCGTGAGGACTGAGATGGAATGCCTCATTTCCAGTAAAAAGGGGCTCCGGTTCTCTACACTCACCATACGAAATACAGCAGCATTAAGCTACTATTTCACGCTGGTATTCTGTGAGAGCGTGGTCCTTCCCCGGTCGAGCCGACCCATTCGTGCTGCAACTATACTACTAATATAATTGCAGCATGGCTCTACCACGTATAAAATATATATATAGATATAATGTAATTAAGAAATATTATTGTACTTTATTATCACTATTAAATATTTATTAACTTATTTGAACTAGGTTCAAACGAAGTTTTAACGAACGAGGTAGATGTAGGTTACGAACTTAATAATTATAGATTGAGATCCATCCATCGACTTTTAGAATCACTAAATTAAGTTTACTTATAATCTACATAGTCCTTCACTTACTACAAACTTACAAAAAACATATTATCAAATTATTCCCGTGAAAGTAGCACCAAAAGTATATAAAAGATTTTTTACGCTTTTTGTTCATCAGGCGCCATGTCTTCGATGTCTGATTCTGGCAAAGCATCTTTTGCGGATGCAGAACAAGGTATATCGGTAAATTCTTTATGGAATTGAGCAGGTATAACTTTGTCCTTGCAAAGTTTAATAAGGTCATTATATTTTGCCTTTGCTATCGGCAGTTGTGAATGGTAACACGATATAAGAGGTACCCTGGTTTTAGATTGGATTTCAACCACGCTCGACTTAGCAGATTTGTCCATGGAATACTTGATGGAAATAGTTGAAAGATTACTTTTTTTGAATGTTGCTATTCTGATTTTACTTATTTTTCCCATAAGGTTACCTTTGAAGTACTTTTCAGAAACAGAATCCCACTTATAAAAATCTTCAAAAGTCTGTTTTTCAACCTCATAGGGGAAGGGGTCCTTTCTAGCTGAGGTGAAAACAGTATACCATTGAGATGGTGCATAAATAATTGTTTTATGTAGATTAGCTTCAATAACAGCATGAACACTGTCGACCGTCATATACGTATGACCAGTTAGTAAATAATTTATTTGTACGTTTTCTAAATGTTTGCATTGCCGTAACGTCGAGTGTATCATTGCCAACACCGTCCTATTCCGGTTTTCAGTTTTCAGTGTACAGAATAATCTGAACAATAATCTACTGGGACTGTACTTTGTTCTTTAGAAAGATGTGCAGGTACGAATTCTAATGTGGGGCCTGACGGGCCACTGAAAATTGGATCCAACAATGCTTCACTATAATTTTGCTGCTGTTGATCGTTATTTATTGGGCCAGTCATCTCCATGTTATTTCCAGCTGTAACAGTCTCAGAATTACTTTGAAAGGATGTCATTGTAGGGCCTTTATCTGAAAGTGTCTCATCCTGAAAAAAAAGGTGTTTAGTTCGTTCAGTACAACAACAACAACTTAACAACTTATACTTAAAAGCAAGAGAAAATAGAGCATGTGCACCACATGTTACAGATTTGCTCGTAACTGATACTACAGCGTGAAAAATTTATACGAATTGGTAACAAGCAACGCTCAAGAAACTATCAATTCTGCAAATTCTACCATTCTTTCAGCCTGGCGTATCAAAACTAAGTAAAAGTCTGAGAAAGGTCGTAAAGATAGGTGTAAAACTACGTTCATTAATATTATCAGATGAAGATTTCTCAACCTTCATCCGATAAAATACTAGACAAAAATACCCCCCCCCCCCCGTAACGGCTCCCGGTTCGTTGGCACCATTCACACCTTCCTAGGGTCGCCACTGCTTAAGCGCCTTATGAACTCGAGTGACTGTCGTCTGTACGATATATTACTTTCCTCTATGCTGTCGTCATTAACTGTTCTCTGAGTTGAGCTGTCGTCAAATAGGTAGAGAACGAGAGACCCGTTTTACTGGTATCTAGGCATTCCATCTTAGTCTTCAAGGGTGACAACGCATCTGCATTTTGATTCTTAATCGAGGTTAAATGTAGATGTCTATGGGTCATAACATTCACTTATCATCGGGTGGACCGTCTATTTTCTGGATGTTAGCGCTGTTAGTCTATACGACTCTTACAGCTTTAACTGACTCAGGGCTCGCGGCCTGCAAGGCCGCGAGCTAATTAAAAAAGGTAAAAGCAATGAGGTGAGGATGATGATGAGTGGTTTATGATTTGGTATTGTTACCAATCATCATGTCGCGTTTTTAGGCGTTTCTTGAGCTATCTAACCGCAGTCCGAGTGCGGACCCCCGCCTCTGACTGCTCAGCTCGTGTCGGTCGATGGTAACCGGTGGACCGTGTGCTCGTTTTTCCCCCTAACCTTTAAAAAAATCTGCCAAAAACATATTATGAAGAAAAATTCAATAATTGTAGTCAACCAAATCTAAGAAATACATTTTGACAGCTGTCAGATTTATTGCACCAAGCATGCCAACCAAAAATTGCGAACGTTCAATATTCGATTCTTAAAAAAATCGATAATGATTACTTAGAGTTGGTAATCATTTACAGTTTGGTTTTAATAATACCAGAATAAATTAAAAACGGATTTAAAACCCAAGATTTATCAGTTTCTTCGTATTTGCAGTTACTGCTTATTTATAGAGGCACAGTTATAAAAATTTAAGATTGAAACTATATAAAAATAAATTTATTCAATCACTTACAGTACAACTAGTTGAGATGTCGTTGTTTAGATCAATTATTATTTGATTTTCAATAATGCAGTCAAAACTAACGTCTTTTTCAAAGTCATCTGTAATCAATATTTTCGTTTTTTTTTACCACTTTTGCCCAATCATCCTTTGTGACATGGGTACATGCTTCAACCAATGTAGAAGCAACAGTTCGAAAAGTTAAAACCGAGTCACAAAATAAGAAGACAAACACAAAATCACAAAATTACGCACAGTAAGCTCCCGAAACGTCGGACGATTGAAATTACGTAGTGGTTTTTTCAGCGCGGCCATGTATATGAGTTTTTGCCTGCAGAAATTAACGTTGACAAACTAAAAAAAATAAACTTGTGTTATTCATGATTCATATAATTTAAAGAATTTTGAAAATAAAAAATAACTACACAAATAATACTTTAAAAACTTAATGATTCGATTATTTGAATATTTTTACTGATTATGTGAAAATTTTTGCCGATTATTCGCATAACAATGAATTTTAATCATCCAAACACTACGGTAAGTTTCATAGTGACATATCATTGAAACGACGTCAGGTAAAAAAGTTGATACTCGTTATTTTTTTTTAAAGATTTTGCTTTGTTTTAAAGGTAAGAAATTGATGAACGATAAAAAACTATACATGTTGTAATGAAATATAGATAACTTAATAATTCTTCGGATTAACGTAAAAGGTTATTTTAAATCCTGTGAGTACGCTTGTGCAAACTTATTGCGGAATGATTAATGTGAAACGTCAAAAGGTATTTCTTAGATTTGGTTGACTATAACGAAGATCTAGAATAAAATGAAGATATAGCTTAAAAGACAAGCATCCAAGCCAAAAATCTTAAATTGTATTAATTTACTTTTGTACTAAATCTTAAATTAAAACCACGAAGGTTAGAAAACAGAACGATCACTACGTACTAAAGCATAGCCCACCTGTCCTTGAAAATGGTAGAATACATAGCGGTACTGACGTCAGTGAGTACTGAGTAGTGACTGCAAAGTTAGCTGTTTATGAGTACAAGTAGGTGAAGTTAGTTGAATATTGTACAAATTTTCATTTCATTTTTTGTAGAAAATTTTCATGCTCCGTAATGTTTTAATTTTTGACAAAAATAAACATTAAAAATGGTGAAATATTTTATTGTCCGTGGATGTACAACTGGTTGAACATCTGATCGGAAAATAAACTGAAAATGACTTTTATTGATTACACTTAGTGATCGCAGCGCCTCACTGATGGTGTCCATATTTTTGGGACACTATTTTCTACGACGATCGTTCTCCTGTTCTCTAACCTTCATGATTAAAACGCTAAGATCATTACTCATTGTCTGACGGCAATCTAAAACCATAATCATATAATTTATCGTAGACAGAGAATCCCATTTATCCTGTGCCATAATATCCTGACCAATCCTGACAACCGGTGACAACTGTTTGTTTTTGATTGGTCGATAAATAAATAGGGACCAATACGAATCCACCATAGAGTATATTTAGAATTTTGTTCATTCTTTACCAATGGAATATCTGTCTGCTAAAGTCTGTACTCTGTAGTAGTCTGCTTTTGATAGATCTTTATGGATCTTTATTTTTTCTGTATTCGTTGGTACTCGTATTCGCTTTTCGCTTGTCACTCTCGTACTAACAAATTCACAATTCACATTATCTGCTAGTATTCAACAGTGTTAAAGAGATTTATGAATTATTTTAAGAAATTTAAGGACTAAATGACATGGTAAGAAATCGACGACTTTTAATTAGTACTGACATTTTTTTTTATATTTGTTGAGGACATCCGGTAATTTTTACCACCCGTATGTCGCTGACGGTCTCAATTCATAATCATATTTTGTGTTAATTTAATTACATTTATCTGAATTGTATGATTAAGTTCCATTCACACTTTTTCAAATACACTCAAATTTAATGTTATTGTTTCAGATGTCTCTATTTAATAGTAAAATATATATTTATGGCTTGTTGATACTATTTGGGACTACTTTTGTGAGATCTGACAGCGACGATGATGGTGTCACTGTTGAGGTTAGTGAAGTTCTGTGACCTAATTATCGTTAATCTTGAATTGTACTATATTTTAATAAAGAAATCCACCGTAAATCAATTAAAAGTAATATAGATTATATATTGAATTTATGTATATTGTTGAATTTCATATTTTTAGTGTTATGTATATTCAAAAGTATTTTTATGTAAATAAAGAATCTTAAAGGAAGTTGCTAAAAAATAAGTGCAGTCATAAAGTACTTATGTTCAAGCACTACCTGTAAATGTATATTTTGTTTTAGTTTTTTTTTTATTAAAAATAATACTAGCAAAGCTATCAACATTACTAATATTCCCATTAACTATTCCCGATAAGCTTAAAAACTTGTATTAGGACAAGCATTTTACAGAAAAGACAACGGTAGTTGATTGGTAAATTTGAACCCACAAGCTTTTGAGTTTGTGGTCTGTCCCTGCCATTAGGCTGCATACAGTGCTTGTGATTTTTTTCTCTTCTCTGTAAACTTTTTTAAGCAGTCTATTTTTTTTAAATTACTGTTTGAACTTATTTGTACTATACATAAAATTGACTGATATCTACCTTGTTCCTATTTAGCTATCTAACTATGGCAATCAGATAAGAGTAATACATATAATTACTATTTTAAATGCTAAGTTTTTGCTCACTATAAAAATTATTTTTGCTTGCTTGTTAGTGTAGTAATATTTTCTGTGTTGTTTATAAAGAATACTTCACAATACTAACATTGGTAATCAAAAACATATAAAAATTATATAGTTTGCCTTGAAGTATTTTATGAATGTTATATCATCACTATTTCAGCCCATTTGTCTCAAGTTAAGAATGTAAAAAAGATTCGACAAAGCAGTTAAAGCTACAAAAAGAAAAAGATAGATTTAGACATTTGAATTTCCTAACAAAATTCTATAATCATAAATTGATTTCCATCTGTCATTATGGAAGGATTGCTAAAATACATAAAGGCATTATATGTAACAACAAGTAGATAGTGATTGACCAGTTGATTGCAAAGCCAATTTTGATTGGTTGCTTGCAATTTCTTAACTAAGAAACTGATTACACTACATGCTAAATGAAGTACAAGTTTAGAACCCCACTTAGAACATGAACACAGTAAATAGCCATAATGTGTAATTATACACCCTCACTACATACACTTAGACTATTTTTCAACAAGTGGATTACGACACATTTTTAAGAAATTTCTATATAGTTTTAATGGTATTTGAAATTTTTTATCTCATTAGTTTAAGGCCGTACTAAGTAGCATTTTATTTGTAATTTTCTCCACATTTTTTCAGTGCATTATGACATACATGTTATTAAATAAATCTAAAAAAGTAATGAATTATCCATTCATCATTTTCCACCATAAAACATTGCATGTATTGTGTTCTTAGATATACGCTATTTATTTGTTTATTTTCATTTTATATGGCATTTGTAATGAGTACAACATAACAATAACAATAAGAACAAAGACTTGATACTAAAAGCAACAAGCATCAGCACCATCTTTTTTATAACAATGATTCATGAAATTTCTGATTGGTATGTTCATTTCTAGTTATCACCATCACCATTGCAGCCCACCACATGTCCACTGTTGAATATAAGCCTCTGCTAAGAAATGCCACAAAGTGTGGCTCAGAGCCACCTGCATCCATCGACTTCTTGCATCTCTTACATCACTCCATCTAGTTGGTGCCGTCCTACACTTTGCTTATAGGAATGAGACTGCCACTATATTTTTTTCCACATCAGTTGTCAGTTCTTTAAGCTTTAATCTGGCCCATTGCCACTCCAGCTTACTGTTCCGTTGCTCTATGTGAGTTACTCTAGTTCTACTGTGGATAAACTCTGAGAATAGGCCTCTACATAGCCTTGAGCAACCTTAAGCTTCCTCATATTTCCATTTCCAGTGATGAATGTAATCTCATTTTTTTTAATTTTGCAGATATACAATTTATACTTATAAAGTTAGAATTCAAAACTTTTCTACATAGTGTACAGTATATTGGCTTATTTGAAGCTCATGAATTATAAAAATATTCTTGTAATAGGGATGGACAAGTGAAAAATATTCAAATTTTTATCATATTTTTAAATCGTATCAACAATTATTGTGTGATAAATATTGATATGTCATCATATTTTGCATGATTTAGTAGTTTTTGATGAGCTCTGCATTTTTATCATTTGAGAATAAGTAAAATGATGCTTAGTTTTAAGATGGGTAACCAAATTTTTTTACCGGACTGTTTGTACAACTTGCTGCACAAATTGCAAGAAGCAGACCCATTGTTACCTTTTTTTGAAGAGCTTCCACATACAAGACATGGTACATTTAAAAAAACATTTTATGCAAATAAGAGACAAAACAATAGCAAATGAATGCTTTAGTTTGGTGTTACTGTGTTATTCAAGTTTGTGAAGTAGGTTGAAATTTATTTAAAAAATGATGCATGAAGAGTCTTGTAACATTAAGTATGAAACCAGAGTTGCATATGAAAATATATCGAATCAAAATTGATATTAATCCAATATGCTAAAATAAATATTGAATATCAATATATCGATATTTTTTACCTAAGCCTAACTTGTAACAAATGATATAAGTTTAATTAACCATAACCGTAACATAACCATACAACACAATTTCTGTTGAGTTTCGAACTAGTAATGTATTAATTTTTAGCATCATATTATGTTACTAATTTTTTAGTTTTTTGTTAAATTACTAACCCACACAGGATTTAAAACAAATTTATATATTTGATGTAAGCTTGATTTTTGAATTTTGTAGACGGTTGAAGAAGAGGAACAATACCGCAGTCCACAGATAAACAGAAAAAATGTATATTTGGCTGAACACTTTGATGATGAGGCAGCATTTAAGAAAAAGTGGGTCAAGTCAGAAGCAAAGAAACAGGGAGTTGATGAAAATATTGCCAAATATGATGGCAAGTGGGAGGTATGTGTTATATTTTATTATAAATTACTAAGTAACAACTTTCTGTAAGGAAAACAATTAATCATTTTTCCCAATAGTGTCCGTAAAACACATTTCACTGTATAACTGAAACTAAAAATACTAGCAACTAAAGTTATGGTGTATAGTGGTGATGTCAATGAATCCACTACATTTCCACCTGTGAATATCTTAAGAAGCGACTGGCTTTTGATATGACAGTGTAAGCATATCTGTATGCCAGGTATTAAATATGCTTGGCGCCACTGTCGTCGCGCCACAAGCGAAATGCAACGAAGCCTAAGTATCATAGTTCTGAAGTACTGTAGTATATCTAAATGTCTCTGTACTACTATACTGAGCGATGGTCGCTCCCCAGACTTAACACATTGCCTGGCGGCATATCCTCCCTTTTCCTTTGAAAACAAAGTCAAAGATGCTAGATATTCAAGTACTGTGATTGGTTTGGCCCGCCAAGTGTGACAATTAGAGCTAATCCAGAGAACCCCATTCGCAAGAGTTTAATACATTTTTATAAGCCGATGTAACATAGTTGATGGCATCATTGAAAGTTTCAATTCATTTTTTCTGTGCTTACTAACCATGAGCTCTTAAGAAATTAATACTTTTTTGTAGATTCAAGCACCTTCTAGGCGAATTCTCAAAGATGATCTTGGATTGGTTCTGACAACTGAAGCCAAGCATGCTGCCATTTCTGCTCTCTTGGACAAGCCTTTTGAGTTCAAGGATAAACCATTTGTTGTACAATATGAAGTTACAATGCAGGTAAGAAATTATTTTTGAATTAGGGACCCATCCTTCTTATTTTAAAAGAAAAAATGGCTCCATCATATAACAATGATTCTTTGTCAATGTCAAGGTTAAAAAATACAAGAGATATTATACAAAGAAAAAGAAGAACTGTTTAAGTATATTTTGACTATTATTTTCTATGAGATCTATTAATATGGCATGATTTAAATTTAAGATATTCAAATAGCATTTATTTTATCAACTTTTATTATATAATAAGTCTCCCAAATTTTTCTCTCTGTTAGTGAAGTTTCATTGCAATTGGTTCAACCATTCTAAAGTTAGTGGAGACAGACATGTAATGCAAATAATGGCATGCAAATATCAGTTCAATATAAGACAATTATTTTAATACCAGCTGTTCCCCGCGAATTCGCCTGCGTGGAATTTTGCACAAAACCTTAAAATAAAAGTGGACTAAGTTACTCCTAATAACATACTTGCTAAAGCTACCTGCCAGTGAAGGTGATGCATGTTAGAGCTTTATTATTAGTAATCATATAGATTATAACAACTTTATTTATATGTATAGATAACTAATTTTTTTTATAGAAGTGTCTAATGAGCTATATGAACTTAAATATGAGGTTGGGGAAAAAGTTTCTTTGTATTTTATATACAAATTGAAGACAATTATTTTTTCAAAGTTTAATTAGATTTAATTATAATATATATGTGCCATTTTGTCTGATAACTTGTTGCTATCTTGTAGGTAGTGACGTGATCCTGTTGCTATAGTAATCTTGGGATTTTTGATCAAAAAAATGCGACAAGTAGTTTTGACAGTCCTCTATTGATGTTAATCTAACACTACCCAAGGAATTCTGAAGAGACCCAAACAGGTGAAAAAATCTGAGGGTGAAAGGTCAGGACTATATGGTGGATGCATAAACACTTTCCAACCAAGCTCTCTCAATGTTTTCTGAGTGGCCAAAGATGTGTGTGGTCTGGCGTTATCATGATGAAAGACCACTCCTTTTCTGTTGATCAATTCTGGCAGTTTTTTTTTATTTCCTGCTTGAGTCTCATTAGTTTTTGGCAGAAGAGATCCGAATCGATGGGTTTGATCGGCGGTAAAAGATCATAATAACGATGCACTTCCAATCGCTAATATCTTAAAGATCATAATCAAATTATTTGCAATTCCCGCCATTTTAAGGTCGCGAGCAAACAGGAGTATCAAATAACGTAACCTTCCGATCTTACGGGTGCAAAACTAAGTAGCATAATGAAAAAAAAAACAGTTTATTCTGGACCTATTTCCCCACATTTACTTAAACGTTAGTATCATGATTGGTAAAAATCTATTACAAGAAATTAAAATGAAGAAGCAACGGCGGGACTTTTTTTTAAATTAATTTACAATATAATATTTTTTACAATTACATAGTATGAAAACATTTAGAAACAGCATGTTAGTGATCACCTTGTTACCAGGGGTTATTCATGTAGTTTTAAGTAGTATAATAACCCTTACTAAGCAATTTTTGCTTAGTAAAAATTTTAAACTATTTAGAATAGAATAGAATATTTTTTATTCTATATAGATTATTACATAATACTTATTGAAAATCATTTTTTTATTTTCCACTGGTTTGGAAAATACCTCTGTCATAGAAAGAACCAGCAAGAAACCCAGCGGGACCTTTTTTTAAACATTTCACTTTACAATAATTTTGTTTATGACAGAGTGGACAGGAATGTGTTATGGCAAACACTGAACTCATATGGGTTGAGCGCTGGTTTGATACAGGCATTAAGGTCTCTTTATAGGGACTCTAGTGCTTGTGTCAGGATCAATGGGGTCTACTCGGACTGGTTTGGCATCCAAAAAGGTGTCAGACAGGGCTGTGTGGCTTCCCCTTGGCTGTTCAACCTATTTATGGACCGGTGTTTGCAAACTTTGAAAGATGAAGAATGTGGGTTAAGAATGGGCGAGTTAACCGTCAAATGCCTTTTGTATGCCGATGATCAAGTCATACTTGCGTCATCGGCGGCAGAGTTGCAAATGATGGTTACATTAATGAACAGGGAATTAAAAGAAAGGGGAATGAAAGTGAACGCAAGTAAGACGAAAGTGATGGTTTTTGAAAGAGAAGAAAGCAAAACGGTATGTGAAATAAGAATAGAAGGAGAGTTGATTGAGCAAGTGGATGAGTTTGTGTATTTGGGATGTGTATTTAGCAGGGATGGTAGATATGATAGGGATATAGAACGACGAGTAAATGCAGGGAATAGAGTGAATGGGGCACTACACTCTATTATGAAGAACCAGAATTTGTCAAAACAGGCACGTATGGTAATTCATAATGCTGTGTTAGTCCCTACTTTAATGTATGGTAGTGAAAGCTGGGTGTGGCAGAAGAAGCACGAAAGTAAAATAAATGCTGTAGAAATGCGGTCTTTAAGGAATATGCTAGGGTGTAATCTGAATGACAGGGTGAGAAATTGCGTGATAAGAGATAAATGTGGTATGCAAGATGATGTTGTGACCAGGATTAAGAAAGGAATGCTTCGGTGGTTTGGTCACGTAGAAAGAATGAATGAGGAAAGAGTGACAAAGCAAATTTATATGGCAGATGTGAATGGCCGAGTCGGGAAGGGACGCCCAAGGAAAAAGTTTATCGACCAAATTGGCGATATTTTGAAAATGGGCCACGTTAGAAGTACCCTTAACCGACGAGCATGTATGCGTAGATATATGGATGTAAAGGAGGCGAAAGAGGTATGTCAGGATCGTGCCAAATGGAAGTCCGTAGTCTCTGCCTACCCCTCTGGGTGACAGGCGTGAGTGTTTATGTATATGTTATGTATAATAATTTTGTTTGTACACATATTTATATAATAAGTTTACTTTTGTGTGCTACAAACATATGTACATACAAAAATAAAATAAATATTCATTGAATTATTTAATTAAATGCAATCAATATACTAAATATTATATTATACATAGATAGATATTGCGTCATCTAATATAATATACGGCGAAAGCTATAGTACACGACGCAATGTACTACAAAGTGACTATCATTTTGATGTCAACGGATTAAGCAAATAAGACTGCTGTTCCTTAAGAAAACATTGTTGAAGGTAATAGTTATCGGTATTTTACATTCGTAACACTAATAAGCTTATCGGATCGCGGCAAAAACATTTTTTTCAGTACTGCCGTGTATTATTGTGTAATTTTTATTGGATTTATTCGCTTGTCTAGGCCATTCTGTCTTTGAATTCGATATAAATATGTGCGTTGCTAATGAGGGTCTATAATATTCCTAGTAATTTCCTTACTTTCCAAGTAACATATTAAATTTGTCCACTGTATATTCATGTTAAAGTTGATGTGCTGTTTGGCCACCTTAAATAATTTCTTTATATTTTCGAAAGTTATGAATTGCACAGTAGTTTTACCGTAGTTATCTATTGTAATATTTTTACAATATCATAGAAAGTCAACCTGTATTTAGAGAGACCCAAGGTCACTTACACATCTAGACCCGATTAAAACCGATAGATTTTTTTGCACAAATGGTGACATCAAATAAGATTCCAACCTTTATATTCTGTAGTCAGATACTAAGACCACTGAGTCATGTGATCTGTTTACAAATCCTGTATTTATCGACGTGACAAAGCAACTCATGAAATTTAATGCATATGCTTGCACTAGAGTTCAAAATCACGAAAACATTACAAAGGAAGCAAGCGTTTTTTGGCGTTCGTCCAAACTTTTCAGAACTGATTTACGTCAGTATAGGCTATTGTATTGTGTTCATGAACGAGAAATAACATTTTGTGAATACTTTAAGATAAATGTAAAACACAGGTGATCATATTATAATGTACCATAATGTTTTATTTGAAATTTGAAAAAAAAAAGATATAATGAAATAATTATTTGATAAAAATAATGATTTCATTGAAATAAATAAATCGTTCACATTTACAGCCAATCAAAAGTCCTTGGCATTAAATCCTCACGGGAGTGTTATTTGCCACAGTTGCCACGCTTTACTGTAAATTCGCATTTGCAGTTTTTGAAGTGAAAACTTCTTTAATATCGTCGTGATTTGAAACTGGATGAAGCGAAAAAGCGACACAGAATGGAGACAAACATATACATATATAGATTATAGAATTTAGCCTGTGTGAACATGGGATAGAATACAGTATGCTAAACGACAGTAGCCTAATGGTAGGGTGCAGACTGCAAACTCTAAAGGTTGTAGGTTCAAATCAGCTATTCGATTATTTTTTAGGTTACCAATAGTGGTTAAAGCGAATTTAAGTTACAATTTGATTTGTGCAGGCTGTAATGGAACTCGGGTTGCTCGCATACTTTGAAATTTATAGCAAGTACTCAACCCCTGAGCTATCACGGCTTAATATACTAAAGAAATAACTTTTAATTTGAACCAATAATAAATTGATTACCATACTGGCTTCTAAAAACACCATTAAATTCCTGGAGTATTCAATTAATAAGAAAATCAATATCTATCTACAGGAGGGCCAAAACTGCGGTGGTGCGTATATAAAACTGCTCTCCCGCGGCACCAATACGAAGGCCGATCTTCGCAAGTTTCACGATCAGACTCCCTACACTATTATGTTCGGTCCTGACAAGTGTGGCAACGACAACAAGCTGCACTTCATCTTCAGGCACCAGAATCCCAAAAACGGGACCATTGAAGAGAAGCATAGCAAAAAGCCAAGGTATTAACAAAAACCATGTTCATGTTTTTACCCATTGAGACTGTCCAGACTCCTAAAAGAGCTCTATCTAGTAAAGTTAACTTTGCTAATTTACTTTGTTATTTTTAAATGCAATCAACACCATATGTTAAAAGCTAAAGGTCTTTCTCATAAAAAGCGACGACAATTTAAGAAAGTTACTATCTTCCACCATATAAGAAAAGAAAGAGACAGATAAATTGATTATAAAATTGTTCTTTCCTAGCCAACGCCTGGATGATATCTACAAAGACAAGGAGCCTCACTTGTACACGCTGATTGTCCGGCCTGACAACACCTTCAGTATCCTGGTTGACAACAAGGAAGTAAACGCAGGCTCGCTGCTTGAAGACTTCACGCCTCCCGTCAACCCGCCGGAGGAGATCGACGACCCCAATGACAAGAAGCCAGAAGAATGGGATGAGAGAGAGAAGGTATTTTCATTTTTACAACAAGCTGTGAGGTGTTGACGTATAAAGATAATTCAATAAATCTTGTAGCATTGAATATTATGAAGACCAAAAATTCAAGTAAAATAATGGCTAACCTATTTGGTCTCGATTTATTGTTTTTTGTTTTATAGGATATGGTGACAAACAAGCACACAGTTTACTTGATGGTAAATGGTTGCTGTGGCCCATAGACATCTACATCTACATCTATATGAATCAAAATGCAGATGAAATGTCACCCGTGAGGACTAAGATGGATTGCCTCGTTTCCAGTAAAAAGGGTATCCAGATCTCTACACTCACGATACAAAACACAGCAGTATTAAGCTACTAATTTACGCAGATATTTTGAGCGTGAGCGTGAGAGCGTGGTCCTTCCCCGGTCGAGCCGACCCAATCATGCTGTAACTATATTACTGATATAAATGCAGCATGGGTTTACCACGTTTTGATAAGATAATCAATATATTTATATATATTTAGTCTTTAGTTTTAACCACATTTTTATTAATCGCTTTCGTATATGTCTGTTCAGGTTGAATTTAGTAATTGATTTTACACTAACTTCCCGATGTGCTAAAGACTTGAAATTTTGAAAATAGCTCAGAATTGGATGACAGTGTGTTAGAATATTTAAAAAAAAAACGTATCTTAAACAAATATTAAATAAATTTTAAAGATTTATTAAGAAGTATTTTTCTTGAAAATAGTCCTTTAGCTTATGTGCCATAGTCTAGTCTCCATACTTTACATTTTAGTTTACATATTTTTCGCATGACTACTTTATTGAAACACTGTAGTTTAAATTGAGGCTAATTGGACTTAGTCATACAAAAGGGTTCTGACTCACATTAGAGTGAAAAATATGTTAGATATTAATACACCAAAATAATCCTTGCTATATCATGATTTAAACAATTCTGGCAAAAGTTGTAGTAGATTTTTTTCCTTTTTTGGGGGTGGGGACTATATTTAGAGATATGCCTGACTGTTATAGTAGGTAAAAAGTAAAATTGTAATCAATTTGGAACAAAACATTAAATAGATCCAATATTCAAATATCAGTATTTCAGAAATGGCCTTTGATCTATTGGATATTTTTAGCATCTATGTAACTACATCCAATTATAAACTACTTTCTGTAATATGATGGAAAGAGTCTGACACACTGGCACAGGCCTTAATATCTCATAGTGAGCAAAGGGAGTTCCTCCAAGCTGCCACTACTGATGAATTACTATGTTATTACGTTTTCAAGTCTTGAAAATATTTTTAATTTCTCAGAAATGCAGAATTCCTCACGATGCTTTATTTTACCTGCTAAATCGGCACCTAAAATTTGTGGATTATACAAATACTAGGTTATCTACCTTTTATAGTTCATCATCATCATTATCATCACACACCGCCATAGGCCGACACTACCGACATACCGACATAGGCAAGGAATGCCACATGGTCTTCCACGGTCAAGCCACTTGCATCAATTGAGTTCTTGCATGTCTTACTAGGTTGTTACTTCATCTAGTAGGGAATTGCTTGCCCGTAAAAAGCTGCTACTTGTGAATCCTTCTTACCAATAAGTTGTCAATTCTTCGAGCTATATAACAGAGCCATTGTCAGCTTAATAATAATGATGATAATATTTTTATTAATACTATTATATACTTCTCTTTCCTTAGATTGTAGACCCTAGCGCCACCAAACCAGATGACTGGGATGAGGAAGCACCGGCTCAGATAGTTGATCCCAATGCTGTGAAACCTGATGGATGGCTAGATCATGAACCAGAGATGATCCCAGGTTAGCATTTAATTACTAATTTAATTCTTTACATAATTATGCTCTAACCTGTTATAATAGGGATCAAAATCTGAAGGCTTAAAATGTTTTATCAATTATAATATAAATTAAGCAGTTGAATGTGTAAAAAGTATTTATTGAGGTCCACATAGATCTCAACCTCGGTCTCAGCTTAATTTTCAAGATATTGATATTTTAGGTATTTTAGATTTAGAATGTTCTCGATGATAAAGAATAAAAATAGATAACGCTCGGACTATTAATGCAAGCAAAAAGTAACCTCCTGTGTACGTGAATAAAGTCTTTTCTCCTTTGGATATTGTTATGGTTATGTTATCTCGATTGTTCTAATACTTTTCAGTTGAATGCCGGATATATACACGGATTAGGCTAGACAGTTCTATATTGTATTAGTATTTTTTTATCGAATGTAAAAGTGTGTGCCGGGTAGTGGAGAATTAATTATTTCGGGAACGCAAAAGTGAACTCTTCTCCGGGAAACGACTACAAGAATTCGACCTACGGCATCTGCGAAAGGACCTCACTGAAGAAGCTTAGAGATTTTGGACGACCCAATTATATCCTTGCTGTGTGTGTGGAAAAATACATCAATTTTTCATCCTAATCGACATTTTTACTTACTCCGCACGTAACAATACTCTTGCCTATGGCTGAGTCAAGGAGAGTAAAAGAATATTCTTTGAGTAGTTGTTCAGTAAAGCTAGACTGACTGAGCTGTTAATATCTAGACATCGCGATAAAACTTTGCCTACGGTGAAGGTGCCTGGCCACACTGCGTGTTGTAAAGTTCATCGAGATAAACACACGCTAAACGAAAAATGGACGCCGCGGTCGCTCTATATTATATGACAGCGACATAATTGATTTTTACTAGGTTTTTGGCAACAGGAGACAGATTTTAGATTATTCATTCAAAACATTTCATAAAATTTATCGTCTTCTCATTGCTTCAAAAAATTGTCGAAATACGTCGCAAACGATTGTCTGAGGGCGGACTGAAGCTTTGAAGTGAAGTTTACCGACAGCGAAGCGATGTGCTTGCGAATATGCGCAAAGTGACTGAAGTATTCACGAATAAACGGCCAGATATATCGCGATATAGGTTCATAAGAGAGCATAAGAGCTAGACATTTGTACGATTACCGTTACAACCTATTAAAATCCAATGCTGAACAAAGGCCTCCCCCATTATTCCCTCATTGATTCTCTCATACTGGGGATAATTACGGTTGCCAACCGTAGGTGGCAACCGCAGATTTATTTTTATTTTTAGTGGTTAATAGGGAGACGCTGCTGCCCATCTCCTGGTTTGTTTCTCTCTGTCGCCCCTTACGACACCCACGGGACGATATGGTGTAGTGGATATTCTTACGCCGTCACTACACAGTATGTACGATTGAAGTCTCCATAATCTAATAGCGTTTCCACCAGAGACGTGCGAGGATGCGTAGCGAGGGATGTGTTTGTAAAGAACCAATAGAATCGCATCATTTACCTCGCCTCGGTTAGCACCGCTCTGGTGGAAACGACTCAGCGGAGCTAGATTTTTGCGCATACAAAACAAGCGAGAGATGTGTTGCAAGGGATGTGTTGCGAGGAATGTGTGTTGAGAAGGATGTGTTGCGAGGTTTGCGCATACTGTACCAGCCAGTCCATAGACGGAATTTGTTGGAAGTAGAAGTGCGCAAAATAGATATGGATAATTGGAAAAAGAAGATACATTTATATTTAACAATTTGCGATGAAGAAATAGAAGTAGAAGATACGGAGTTTATTAGTTCTATAATTTTGAGCAATAGAAGAACACACAGGTTTTGGATAAGTAACCATATTAAATATCATCAATTACATGGAGAATTCTTTACCTTTTTTTTTATACGGCTGATGATGAAATATTCGAAAATTCTTATCGGGTATCTAGAAGTAACTTTTATGAGTTACACAATTTGATTGAGAACATTATCAAGAAGGAAGACACTCACTACAGAGAATGCATCAGCACCAAGGAAAAATTAACGGTATTTTTAAAGTAAGTAAAATAGTTTGAATCAATTTTGTCTTTATTTAACATATTAATTGAAAAGTACAACATAATCTGCAAAATAACTAGACAACAAGTTCCTCTTCTTCATGGTAAATTAGGCTCTGTTCCTACTTTGTTTGAAGTATTTGGTGTTTGTAAGTCTGAATGTTGTGTTCCCGGAGATGCTGGTTGTTCAGCTTCCAGTTGGAAAGACAAATCCATCTGGCCCGCTGTTTTATTTGTATTCCTAGTCCCCGGAGAAGCTGGTTGTACAGCTTCCAGTTGGAAAGACGAATCCTTCTGTCCCGCTGTTTTATTTGTATTCCTAGTCCCCCGGAGATGTTGGTTGTACAGCTTCCAGTTGGAAAGACGAATCCATCTGGCCCGCTGTTTTATTTGTATTCCTAGTCCCCGGAGAAGCTGGTTGTACAGCTTCCAGTTGGAAAGACGAATCCTTCTGTCCCGCTGTTTTATTTGTATTCCTAGTCCCCCGGAGATGTTGGTTGTACAGCTTCCAGTTGGAAAGACGAATCCATCTGGCCCGCTGTTTTATTTGTATTCCTAGTCCCCCGGAGATGCTGGTTGTACAGCTTCCAGTTGGAAAGACGAATCCATCTGGCCCGCTGTTTTATTTGAATTCCCAGTCCCCGGAGATGCTGGTTGTATAGCTTCCAGTTGGAAAGACGAATCCATCTGGCCCGCTGTTTTATTTGTATTCCTAGTCCCCCGGAGATGCTGGTTGTATAGCTTCCAGTTGGAAAGACGAATCCTTCTGTCCCGCTTTTTTATTTGTATTCCTAGTCCCCGGAGATGTTGGTTGTACAGCTTCTAGTTGGAAAGACGAATCCTTCTGTCCCGCTATATTACTTGCGATGGTATCAGAGCTTGAAGAATAACTAAGTTAGAAGTGACGGAATCTTGGGGCTATTTTGATTATACCACGACAGCACGTAAGATTCTTCGGCTTCGCTAATCATATTAAAAAGTTTCCTTTTTAAAGGAACTTGCATGTAATCTGGTAAATTTTTAAATGTTTTCGCCATTGAAGGAAAAAAATGATCAGTATCATCGCAGTCCGTTGGTTTTAAAAGTTCTTTTAATTCTTGCCTTTATTTTGAAAATCTTCTTGATGTTTCATATGATTTTGTATTAAAACTGATAATTCATCGCCTTTTTTCTTCTTTGATGATGACAGGGTGACCAAATGTGATGAAATGCCTGAAGTTGAGGCTATTTCGTAAAGAGTGTCGGGATTGTCAACTTGATTTGGTGTATGTTCAGTGCTCTGCGAAGAGTCATCTTGGTTTAATGAATATTGAGTGCTTTGCGAAGAGTCATCTTTATTATTTGGATCTATATTATTTGGTAACCACATCCTCTTTATAACTTGACTCTCTATCTCTGTTGGCCATGTACGGTAAAAGAAATTCCATAAATTTTTGGTATTTCTATTCACGTGTTTTGGTTGTAGCCTGTCCGCTTTTTTTTTATTTCTGCCTCTTTAGCGCGTCCCGATGGCTATCCCGTAGTTGTTTCCAACGATACTTTGTGCTTTTCACTGAAATAATAGAAAATTATGATTAGGAATATAACATTTATTACGAAGCGTATTGTCTTACAGATCGCAGAAAAATCAGTAACAGGTAAAAAGTACTTTTACCTGTTACTTAAGTATTTTATTATTATTATAAACAATCCTTTTTTGCAGGTATTTATCTACAGGCTCGTCGCTCACAAGATTGTCAGAAAATTTTTGGATTGGAGTAGCAAGTGTGTCGAGAATTGTGGCAGAAGTTTGTAATGCTCTTTGGCTTGTTTTACAACCTCTTGTTATTCCAAAACCTACCAAAGACGACTGGAGGCGAATAGCAAAGGATTTTCAAGAGCTATGGCAGTTTAAAAATTATTTGGGGGCTCTAGACGGTAAACTTGTTTATATAATGTGTCCTGTAAACACTGGGTCCTCTTTTTTTAATTACAAAGATTTTCTATAGTGCTTATGTGCTTAGCTGACGCTAGGAGAAAGATTATAATGGTTGATGTGGGATCCATGGGAAGATTTAGTGATGATGGAATATTTGATGAAGTGTTTTTCAAAAATATTTGGAAGAAAAAAGATTGAATCTTCCTGAACCTGAACCATTTTATGAAGGAGGTGAACCAGTACCATTTGTATTCATTGGAGATGAGGCTTTTCCTTTGATGGAAAATTTCATGCGCCCATATCCGCGGGACCAGTTAGACCAACAGAAACGTATATTTAACTATAGACTTTCTAGGGCACGTCGCATTGTGGAAGCTACATTCGGTGTATTGGCACGAAAAGCCACATCTGTAATGCATTTTTTTTTTAATTGAAAGACAAACTAATTATTTGAATTCCATTGATAAAACAAATACAAATACAAGTACTCTTGTATCCGTTCCTAGCATTTCCGTCGTCGAGTCAAGTGATAGTTTGAAGTAAGAGAGAAATACTGCTCTTACTTCAATAATCAAGGAAAAGTGTCATGGCAGGATACTCGTATTTCGTCACGAATTCATCGCACACAATAAATACCCAAATATTGTAACTTGTATTTCAATATACCTGATTTTAATACATGATTATTACTTACCATCTTTATATTTTATTTCTTTGACTATTTCCTCCCACGCAGCGTCCTTTGTTTCATTACATTTGTAAAAAGACAAAGAAGTGTTCCACAAACACGGAAACTTTTTAACGGCATCAATTAATTTTTCGTTCATTACGCTACGCAACCATACGACATGCGTACGACTATAAGCGCTAACGACAGCAAAGTGAGACGTGAGCGGCAGGAAGGCGTTCCGCTCCCACTACACTCCACCCTCGTCGACACATTTCACAGCTTCGCAACGCATCCTCGCACCACACATTAATGCGCATTTTCACAGCTCCGCTACACATCCTAGTAGGCACATTTTCATCGCACAGCTTTTGTGGAAACTCCCACTCATTTTCACAGCACAGCTAGACATCCTCGCACGACACATTTCCATCTCACATCTCTGGTGGAAACGCAGGCTAATGTGGAGAAATTGCTGTTCTAGCTAATTTTACCTTTTATTATTAGCTTATAAGTCCCTACAATTTGAAATTTTATTTTTCCTGTATTTTTTAGTATATTTAAAATTTTCGGTGTCGGCTGAGATTTTTTTATTTTATCGGTCTCGGTCAACATGGACCTTAGAATTTAGTAATAATAGCTGGGTTTGTACCATGTATAGGCTGTGAGTATAGTAAGAGGCGACAAAAGGTTATGGAAGAAGATAGGCAGTAGCATGTTCCTGATTGTGTTGATGTACTCAAAGTAATAAAAGAATTCCTGTTGTCAAACTGCCTACCAGGGGGCATATGATTTCTTTTATAGAATATAATGGCAAACGACCACACAGTCCATCTGATGGTAAATGGATGCTGTGCATACACATCTACATATATCCTCGATTAAGAATCGAAATGCAGTTGCGTTGTCACACGTGAGGACTATTATGGAAGGCCTCGTTTCCAGTAACACAGCAGCATTGAGCTGCTATTTTACGCTGATATTCTGTAAGAGCGTGGTCCTACCCCCGTTGAACCGACCCATTCGTGCTACGACTACTATATAGTGACAGCGTGACTCCACCACGTAACGAATATCACTTAATTCTATCTAATAATACCACGAATTGATGGGATTTGGGGCAAATATCCCCCTCTGTTAAGACGGAATGGCTGGATTTGATTTATTTTATTATTTTTGCTTTTTTCTGCAAATTTTGCTGGTGTTGTTTACACTATATAAAAGTATACTTTAGGTTAATTTGATTAATGGAAATAGAAAAATAAACTTTTTTATTCAATGTTAATTATAAATAATATTTATTGAAAGTATCTCTTATGTTTAACTTACCACTGGTTGATTAAAAGTACTTTAACGGATTTTATCGCGTTTGTTTTACTTTTAATTACTTTTATTTTTAATTCCCGACGTTTCGGGTGCTTTCCAGCACCCATGGTCACGGGGGACTGAGATGACTGACGTCCCGATGTCATTGTTAAACCCGGAGTACCTTCAGCTTTTTCAATTATTGTTTATGGTCCAATCTATGCAAAATGAACTGACTATGTCCTGAGGTCTTGCAGTGGTATGCTTGGGTTTAGTTTTAATTTTATTGATTATAGGATCCCAAGTAGGTAGTACCCAGCCTCCTTCTCTATTGAAATTAGGATGTTTTTTAATTTCAATAGCTTCACGTATCATCCTTGGTAGGAATCAGAGTTCTTTCGCGAGGATTTGTGGTCTATCAAATCTGATGTAATGGTTGGGGCCGTCTAGGATATGATCGCAAACTGCAGGATCTGCAAGCAGTAAATAGACGATACTTTCACAATTTTACCATCAGACAAAGTAACTGCATTTTTACAAAATTTGATAAAATCCGTAAAAGTAGTTTTAATCAATGTGTAGTGTTCGCGTAAATATATGAAATCATTATGTTACTACTGGTTCAGAAAATACCTCCCTCTTGCGAAGAACCAGCAAGTAACCCAGCAAGATTATTTTTGAAAGAAAAATAAAACAATTTACAATCATTAAAATTTCACAATAATTAACAACACAAAACAAATTAATAAATAGCATGGTAGCGATCACCTCATTTCCATGGGGTTTTCCATAAATTCCTTAATTTTTATAATAGCCCTTTTATGCAAGTTTTGTTTAATAAAGTTTTTAAACTTGGCGGAGGTTAAATTTTGTATATTTATAACAACATTCTAGATCCCGAAGCCAAAAAGCCAACAGACTGGGACGATGACATGGACGGCGAGTGGGAGGCTCCCCTAATCGACAATCCGGCTTGTGCAGCTGCTCCGGGCTGTGGCTCGTGGAGCCCTCCTCTGATTCCCAACCCCAACTATAAGGTATTCATCTTTTAATTTTATTTTTTGAAACTCCATGAAACAAACAGCGGCATTAAAAAGAGACAGACATATACATTTATAGGATTTAGCCTGCGAGAGAAGCAGATAGAATAAGGTATACTCTTTGATCGAAGCTAAAGATGATTAATATAAATTTTAACTGTTAAAATAAACACTTATTTTATTAAATAAATAGATTTAACGTTATTGAAAAAAGTTATCTTAACCAATCCATTCACAACAATACGCAATTACATAATTTACATGATTAGTCATGTTAGTTCATCTAGCGTTTATTTTACATACCACATTGAGAGTCAATCAATTTTATTCGATAAAATGGACTTACTGATAGAGTGAAAGTAGATTGCACTATTACAAAACAACTTTCAGAAGGTTTCATTTCTACCACGTGTGAACTGCACACGTGCTTTTCTATTTTATTATTATTTAGCAGGACAGCGGTATCCTATTGTCAAATCTGTCATTGTTCTGTTTTAATTGTTTATCCAATCTGTTCTTTTTAAATTGGTTTTTGGTTTGTGCTGATATCACTTCTGATGGTAACTTCTTGCATGCTTCAACCACTCTTGGCTGCAAGAGTGCTTGTGCGGGTTATTATGTGACATATATTTGGTAAATTAGAGGTAATGCCCCCTAAGATGTGTGTTGTTTCAGTACTGGAATAATAGTTATTCGAAGTTTTCTATATCATAGTTAAAGTTACAGCATATATATGTCTCACTGCTGGACATAGGCATTCCCCTCATTTCTACGGGGGTTTTAAGGCAACGAAGTGTCCGTCGCGTTGGCCCATAGCGTGTTGGCGAACTTCACATGTCTTCAAAATTTTTTTCCTTTATCTTTCTGATATACAGGTTTCTCACGATATTTACGCCGAGCACGTGGTAAATGAACTCTTAAAATTGCAATTAATAATTTCATTAATACAAATGAATTGGCTATGTGCTTTAAATACTGCTTCTTATCTGATGTTAATATTTATAATAAAACAAATCATTCCGATGATTATTACAAACTAGCGATCTTGACCTCGACAACAGCGCCATCTACTGGGTCCATTTGTAAATCTAAACCATCCAGGAATCCGTTCAAATATACACCAAAAATTAGTCAATTATTAATCAAAATCGGTCCAGCCGCTCTCAACTGATGATCTTTCATACATGGTTCGATTGATTTTATAGACCAGCGATGCGCCCCAGCGTCGCACGGATGATTATAACAGCATAGCTAAAAATCATCCATGTCAAACTGTTTTGAAAGAGAAGAATTATGAACACACACACACACACACACACACACACACACACACACACACACACACACACACACAGACACGCACGCACGCACGCACGCACGCACACCGGAATTTTCTAAATAAAGACATAATTTGACGTTAACAATTTTAATTTTAAAAATTACAAAATAGTGTTGGGAAATAGATAAAGAATGATGAAAAAAATTACCGTTTGATTTCCATGACGATAATCAATGGCTGCAATCTTTTATCTGACTCATTATTTCAAATACTTGAATAGATTTAGATATTACTTGTTCGGAAGGCAGTATAACCACTGTATGTGTTGTAGGGTGTGTGGCGGGCCCCGCTGATTCCCAACCCGAACTACCGGGGAAAATGGAGTCCGCGCCGGATCCCCAACCCACACTACTTCAAGGATGACCACCCCTTCAAGATGACACCTATTGTAAGTAACAACAACCTACTTATCAGTATGTGACTTTAGCCTATTATATATAAGACACACCAACGTAGACCTCCCCCATAGATTGTCCCATAGAGGGATATTTGTCATAGTTGCCACGCTTCACGCTCAATTTTTTATTTTAGTAATTATCAGGAAGACGCTGTTGCCCATCTCCTGATTTGTTTCCCACTGTCACCTCCTACGACACCCATGGGACGATATGGGGCTGCATTTTATCTTAGTCCTCAGGAGTGACAACGCATCTGCATTTGTTTCATTATAGAGGATAGATGTAGAGGTCTATGCTACATTATCCACTTACTATCAGGTGGACCGTGTGCTTGAGCCAGATGGAATTAAAGATTAGCTACTCATCTACAATGAAGTTTATTCCAAGTTCCCAGCTCTTAAGCTACTATTACTCTAACACTTATATTAATTAAAATATTCACTTGTTATCCAGCATGCGGTGGGTTTCGAACTATGGTCAATGTCACCAATGCTTTTGTTCGATAACCTCATCATAACAGACGATCCAGCGGTCGCTGAGGAGTGGGCTCAGCTCACCTATGCAGTGAAACGCGCCAAGATCTCAAGCGAATCGGTAAGTAGTGTGTGCTATTAAATAATTAGACACTTAATTTAAAAACAATATTTTTATGGCTATTATAATTATTAATTAATTACCAAACACCTATGTTGAAATATTTCATTAGAAGTTTTCTGATTGAAACATCTATACAAGTAAATAAAATTAAAGTGTCTAAAAAATTCTGTCTATTTGCCTGTCTGTTTGTTCCGGCTAATCTCCGAAACGGCTGGACCGATCTTTACGAGACTCACTGCCAGATAGCTGAGGTTATAAGGACTACTTAGGCTACTTTGATTTTAGAAATAGAATTAGGGTTTCGCGTAAAAAAAAATTAAGACCCTAAATAACGCATGGGCGAAATCGCGGGAAATAGCTAGTTTCAAAAACAACTATGTATTGCTCGCGCAATCTAACTTGACCGGGCTGAAGTTAGTCGCACGAGGTTGTGCAGATATAGTTTTTAGGAACAAAATGGTAACAAGAGGTATGGGAGTGTGGGCAATAGCTAAAACTAGAGATGCGAACACATTGCGCGGTTACAATTACCACAGTTAAAAATATTACGTAGAATCGATTACCGTTATTATCGATTACGATTCTATTTTATTTTATAATTTATTGAAGTGAAAACTTTTTAGAATCGTTGTGATTTGAAACTCGATAAAACGAGAAAGCGGCACTAATGAGAAACAAATATATGAATATATCTATAGAATTTAACCTACGAAAGAATGATAGTTTCCTATTAACTCGGTCTCCGCTTTGTGCAGTAAAGCATCGCATGGATAAATGAGGAATATAACTTTTAAAATAATAAAAATATCTTATTAATTAAATAAATAAGATTAACAATATTGAATAAAATTATAATAAAAAATAAAAATATAAATTTCTTTGCAACTTTCCGCAATTCTTTGTACGCGGTTCGATCTCAAAGTGTCCGGCGGTATGTGGGTAGTTTGACCTACTTAGGCCCCATATCGGAAAAAATAGCTAATAGTCTTAAGAAAAACGGCGTTAACGTGGCATTCAAAACAAACAATTCGCTTAGGAATATTTGTAATAATAAAGATAAGTTAAATATTAGTCAAAAATCGGGTGTTTATAAACTTGTTTGTGACGAATGCCACGCCGTTTACGTGGGTCAGACTGGTCGCAATTTCGGGACGCGCTATAAAGAACATATGGCCGCGTACAGAAATTGCAATCCTGATAAATCCCATTTTGCTAAACATCTCTTGGACACTGGACACAACCTAGCTAGCGACCATTCCTTTGAAGTGTTACATACCTGTAATAAGGGGCTGCGACTGTGTGTGCTAGAGCAGTTGGAGATTTTAAAAAGTAATAATGGTAATTATACACTGCTGAATGAACAAACAAATGTTTCTAATTCACCTTTGTTAAACATCTTTAAGGCCAATCTTTAATAATAATTTTAAGATTATTGATAATAAATAATTATAATAATATCAATAAAACAATAATAATAATAGTATTTAAAATATTAATCATAACAATAATAATAATTAGTAGCAGATTTGTTATCGCACGGCGCGGTCACTCAAAACAATAATAATAATAGTATTTAAAAATAATCATAACAATAATAATAACTGTTGGCAGTTTTTTTATCGCACGACGCGGTCACTCGCTACTTTGGTAGGGAGCGATTGTGTCAGCGTGTATAAATAACAACTGTTTCGACTCGCCGCTCACTTAGCGGTCAGCCGCCGTAGAGTCTATATTACCTGATGATGCCTCGTGTAGAGGCGAAACACGTGTCGTATTATCGTCGATGGTGTGTCTTGCCTGGAATAGTGGTGTTGAGAGTAGTGGTGCTTGGTATAGTGGTGACGGAGTGAGTGTATGCAATTGAGGGAGGGCGGGAGGTGCGCTTCATTCCAGGTAAGACACATCATTTTATATGTTTAGCGGAAAGTTGCAAAGAAATTTATATTTTTATTTTTTATTATAATGGATTTCCGCAAAGTAACGCCTGATTCTATCAATTATTGAATAAAATTATCTTAATCAATCCATTCACAACAATCTGCGATTTTATAAGTTATCGATTTATATTAAATTAGTAGTATTTTACGTACCACCTTGAGAGTCAATCAATTTTTGTTCGATAAATTACTTGACTTTACCTATTAAATGAAGTAGATTTTACGCTATTACAAGGCAATTTTTCTCGCATCTCGGATTCATTTCTATCGCGTGTGGACTGCACATATGTTTTTATTGTCCATAGGTGTGTAAATTCAACACATCGTTTTAAATACAGCCATTAATATATTATATTTTTAATTTTAAATTTTCCATTAGATAATAAAAGATACAATGGGTGAATTTAATGCCTAGAGGCATTCTCTACCAGTAAGTCATTATCATTTTATTAACAAAATATATTATGATATATCGCAAGTAAATACATAAATATTCATATTATATTTACATATGTTAACACATAATCATAATAATATATATATATAATATTGTGATTATAGATTTAGATATACTATTGTTTTATTGAAATACATAAAGATATTTTTATTATAATAATCATTTTAGATAATTGAAATAATCGATATAAATAAAAAAATGCCTCCGATGTTAGCGGAGCGAATATAAAGTGGCACATCTATCGACTAGCGTCTTTACATGCGCTAAAGCCAACTTCTAACCCTCTCAACTCGGCAAAGATAGAGTGCGCGAACAATATATGGTTTTTTCATTTTCATTAGAGTTATTAAAGTCTACTGCGTAATGTAGGTCATCCCATAGGTTGCCTCATACGGGGATATTTGCTTAGTCGCCTATTTTAGTTGTTATTGGGAAGAACGTCGTCTGACGCCTTTTACGATACTCACGGGGTGATATGGGACAATAGATATTTTTACATCACACGGAGAATTATAAATTTAATGTCTGTACATAGTTAAATGATTAGAAACCTACTAACGCTTAATTTTCGCAACAAATTCCTATATGAACTGTGCGATTAGCCAAATTGTCTTTCTGCTATCGTGACTACTAATAGAAAATTAAAAAATGAATATGCGTTAGCATATCGCAACGTTAGTCTTCTTTTAAAATATTACAAGGTACAAGGTAACGATTGTAAAAAATGTTCTAAGTATGATATTTATGTTATAGAGCATATTTATGCAAGCTGAGACAACCCAGTAAGCAAGCAAGCAGGCATTAGAACTTAAAACAAACATCTTAATATTTAAACATTCAAAATAAAGCCCAGCAAGGAATAAAATAGTGGATGTTGTTAGAGGCGACAGAGGAAAACCAAAATAGTCCAGCATATAATAACTTATTAAAATAATCTAAAACCTACCTTCTATCCGTGGCACATATGTCAAACATTTGTGAGGCAATATATTGTGGATGCCTATGTTCAGGGAATTTTGATAGGCTGCAATGAATAACACAGGTTTCAAATATATAAATATTAGAATAAAAAGCTCTCGAGTCGTTGAGACAATTCAGTCGTTTAATTGTACTTAACATTATTGTAATATGAATATATTTGGTACGGTCAGCAAACGCTATGGGGGCGATTTTTACGTGCAACGAATTACAAGCCGGGACTGTGGGCGATGTACGCCGTCTACTGCGCCATACCAGTCTCCATATACATCGGTTACCTCGTGAAACGTGCCAGAGAGGTTCTTGCGACCATGTAATCGTAGAATTGCTATATGGGGCAAGGACGGAGGGACATATAGATGCTAGGTTAAGCTATCGTTATTTTGTTATTACATTATATGATATTAAAAGTTATTAGCGGATATTTTTACAGCTATTATTTGAGAATGGTTTAAGTTTTTTTAGTATGCTATTTTATTAGTTGATGTGTTTAAAGATTATGAAATAATTATTATTGGGGTATTTAGGGTGATCGCTACCAAGCTATTTCCAATTTGTCTTGTGTCGTTAATTGTAAAAATTTTCGGACAAACAAACGGTTTCTTGCTGGTTCTTCCCAGAACAGAGGTTTTCCTTTGCGAACCAGTGGTAAATGAAAAAATTGACTTTCAATAAGTATTGTTTATAATCTACATTGAATAAAATAGTTTGTTTCTTTTTCTGTTCTTATTAATAAAAAATCTATAGGGTAATTTATTTATTTATTTATTTATTCAGGATAACAACAGCTTATTAATACTTAAACAATATTACTTAAATAATTAAACATGAAAAAGCCAATTATAGTTATCCCCAAAGTAGATAACCAAACATAACACTGAAAATCTAATACACTACAAAAGAAAATCGGTAAGAACTATTACTAAACAGTAACAAATTAATTGAAGTAATAATATTACCATCATGACGTACATATATATACAAGTACAGATGTATATATATACGTACAAAAGACATACATAATTACACTTACAAACACACATATATGAATCTATAAATGCAAATATACTTTGGTGTTATTGTTATTATATAAAATAGATAAAAAATTAAAAAGAGACACTAATATATACATACATACATACACAGGTACACATACAAACATATATATATATATATATATACATATATATATACATACACATATATATACATAAATACATACATACATATACATATACATACATAATAACAGTATTAAACGAGGGCACAAATATTAATTTGGATACTATTTTAATTACAATTTACTGATTACCTTCAGCTGCATAGAATAAAAGCTTGTTAATTTTATTTTTAAATCCACTTTTGGTATTATTAAAAGGATCAATTGCGCTAAATTTTTTGTCGTAAGTTGCTACTAAACGCGTTAGAACATTGTTTTTCCCATAATTGGTCGGGTGAAAGGGGATGTAAAACAAAGAGTTTCTGGTATGTCTGGTACGTTTCAATGGGACATTAAATTTAATGAAAGCCAATAAGTCAGGGCAGTCAATTCCTCCGTGTAATATATCGAATAAAAGCCCCATATCCAGCAGAATACGTCTTTCTTCAAGCATTAACAGACCGTA